CTTCACTTAGAACAGAATGACAAAATAGTCAAAAGAAGCCAGAATCAAGGAATGCAAGAAATTAGATAGACTGTTAGACAAAGCCAGGACAAAGATACCAGAATACAGAATAGTTAAATGGAGTGCCGGATCAGTGACAAAGATAAGCAAAACAATATAAATGCACAATTGACTCAACAGTGATTGTGCACTTCTACAAAGCACCCCCAGCCTATAGAAGTGAAATCTTTCATAGGCTAGGGCATTTAGTGGGCACCGCAAAATGTTTCCCCGGTGCTATGATTAAAACAGAGGGAAACATTTCTGCTGGACAGGGACCCGGTCAGGTGCCAAGACCCTTTAAGACTGCAATCAGGCCCCTGTAATGTCAGCAGGCTGGGAGGAAGTGACAGCTTGACACTTCCTCCCAGCTTTGTTCTGGGAGAAAGCACGGGAGGGAGAGGAGGCAGCTGCAGAGGCATCATGAGGGGAGGGGAGGGGAGAAGGAGCACGATGAGCGGCTCCAGACCTTCACTCCCACCAGCCAGCAGCAGGCCAATCGAGCCACCCTCCTGGTCACACAAGGTAAGCAAACAGGAGGGTAGCTGGAGAAATAAAAAATATCACTTGCATGTGTTTGTCAGACTGTGTGTATCTGTGTCAGTGTGTGTATCTGTGTTATGGTGTGTGCACGGGTCAGTGTTTGTGCGTGTCAGGGTGTGTTTTTTTATGTCGGTGTATGTATGTGTTAAGGTGTGTGTATGTGTCAGTGTCTATATGAATTTGTGTGTATGTGTTGGTGTATTCATATGTATCTATGTGTTAATGTATATGTATATCTGTGTAAGTATGTATGTATGTATGTACATACATCCAAGCTGTCAAACACCAGTACAACATACAAACACACTCCTGCAATCTTACAGAACTATTACATACAAACACTGCATTCAAACTCCAAAAGGAAATACAAACACACCCCTTCACTCAAACACAAATACTTCACACAAAAGAACATCTGCATATAAAACTGAACATTACATTCGAACACACCCCTGCACTCAAACGCAAACATTACATACAAACACGCCCCTGCATTAAAATACAAAAACTATATATAAGCACCCCTTCAAACACAAACACTGTACATTACACTATGGTGCCAACATATATGCTGAAGCACTGTACAGATATACAACCTAAAAAGTTTGACTTGGGGTGCCTTGGAAAAATTTTGAAATATTAAGGACGCCTTGAACCTTAAAAGTTTGGGAACCACTGGGTTAGGGGTATCATTGAGGTAACTATGTCCCCAAAACATGGATGGGTGGCAAAAATAATGCAAATAGAAGTCAATGACATCACGACAGACCAGATGAACAAACATAGACCAGGGACATGGTGGTCGGTTGTATCAGAGCGCCATGTGACCTGTGGACCGGCAAAGTAGGGTTGATGTTCTAACATGATGCTAAGCAGATGCCTACTAATAAAGAAGTATATTACAAGGACACTCCAGACTGAAGTCTACCCCATATTATGCATTATATTGAGGACAAAGAGGGGATTTATGAAGACTTAGTCATATTTGGATTAATTTACAAAAAAACATGCTTTAGACATTTTTCTACTTTATTAATGGGTTTATTTTGTCAAGAATTATGTATAAGATATATATATTTATCTTGCATATATAATATGTGGGCTTCTCTTACACATATTTTATTTCTTATTCACAAAACTGTATAGTAAATAGTCCCTTGACAATTGACTACTTCCTGTTCTACAATGTCCTTTTTCTTCTCGCTTATGTTCTTGTTCTTTACCTTTCCTTATCCTCTTATGCACTATGTCTACCCATCTATCCTTTTCAGACCCTTGCTGCACTTTGTCTTTCCATTTACCACTTACTCCCATCTTGTCCTTTCATCACTCCTTCTTATCCCTGAACCTTATTTCTTACTTGGCAATTGTCCTGCTAACTCCTGGGGCCATCACTATAGGGCTTGCCAGAATTGCTCTCATGTCACTGCAACTTGGCTAATATTTTGCATCCGATGTGCGCGCATCACCAACCCTTATACTGAAATTTCAGCTAAGAAATATAACTATGGAACTATAAGACTAATTACAAGCTACCATTCCACACATTTTATAGCAGGACTGCCAGTATATTGCAGCTTGGGGTCAGCACATAAAATTATCCACATGTGTTTTATTTGTATTTGATTTTATATATTTCTGTTAAGCATTGATATGGCCATCCTCTCTCAAACACAGATTGTGCTTGTTTCTTGTATTTGTTTAATATAAGTCTTAAATAATGTAATCATAACCTATGTCATTGCTTTGTCATTTGTAAAAGTATAAGAAATAAACAGGACATGTGTAAATGTATCCATTACCTCTTTCTACTAACACAGTAATGTGAAAAATGGGTGCTGATTAAAAACATATGCCTATATTACAGAAAATAATAAACCAAAAGTATATATAAAACTCTTATAGCTCTTGGTGTGTTGACGGGAGAGGAGATATCCCTTTCATACAATAGTTCTTGAAAAAAACAAACTGCAAAAACGGTGGTTTTAGAAAGTTGACAGTACATATTTCAGTAGTTATGCTGGTTTTAAATCTGTATGTCTTGGTAACACCCAGGGCAGAAAATATTTCCATGTTGTGTAAGGAACCGTTGACCAACAAGTGATGTGGTGCACTTTGCACAGATGAAGCAATCACTATGCCACTGGCAATCTTCAAATGAGATGTATTTGGCACCTCCTTGAGCTGAACAAAAGAGAAAATACAGTTATAAACAATGTTTCAATGATGAAGCAAAAACTGGAGTCTTGGCTAATAATGAGTCTTTGTTGAAGGACTTTTATCCTTATAAAAAGCATGAATACTATACTTCAGAATTGTTTCTAAAAAATATTGCAGACAATATGTGTATTTGGAAAAAAATAGCCATTCGTTTTTGTACTGATTCATTATATATGTTTTTCACCAACCTGTACTCCTAACCCTGCCTCGTTGCCGTTGATCTCCAGAGAGATTAAAAAACACATGCTCCCTGTTGTGTATAAGCATAATGTTTATATTCCAAGGCACTTCCTAGTTGATGCCCATATCAACAGAGGAGGGTCAGAGACCTACTCCAGGTGTATGAGCATAATATTTATATTCTAAGGCATTTCGAAGTTGATGCTCATATAAATAGAGGAGGGTCAGAGACCTACATTTCAAGGTGCATTAGGTGAGGACATTATTAGACAATGCTGAATTCAGATCTTATTTTTTTTTAATACAAAGAGATGTTATAGAATATATCTTTAGGGACGCAGGGGCGGTAGGGAACTAATTAACCAAAAAGTTTTCATACTTATTCCCAGGATGGATGGACATGGTATTTAAGTGTACTATTTGGAACTGGCAATCATTGCGGCATATTTATTGGTGAGCCTCATCATATTAATGGACCAAGGCATAGGGGACCACCTATACTTTAATAGGATTATAACAGCATAGGTTGTTCCTGATAAATTTACTTCCCACACTTTTGCATTATATCA